GTATGAAGGGTACTATCATCTGCAAAGCTGTCGATGATGCAAGTTGTTACTCCCAACAGATCATTGATATGAAGAAGGAATAATGTTGGTGCCAAAATTGATCCTTGTGGAACGCCGGAATTGATGCCAATGGTATCAGACGATACACCGTCCACCACCACTTGAAGCGATCTGCCTGAAAGGAAACTCGATAAGAGATGGCATAGCTGAGGTGGTAAGCCGTATGATGGTAGTTGAGTGTGGAGGAGTCCTTCGTGCCAAACACGGTCGAATGCTTTTGATATGTCCAATGCGACAGCTAGAGATTCCCTGTGTTTCTCTAATGAAGCTTGCCATAAATGGGTGACGTAGGCAAGTAGATCTCCAGTAGATCTTCGCTGGTGAAAGCCGTATTGTCTATCATTGATGATTCCTGAGCTCTCCAGATATTTGGTAAGCTCAGTATTGATGGCTTTCTCCATCACTTTGGAGATTACTGATAACAGGGCAATGGCCTGTAGTTGTTAGGCAGGTTCTTGTTCCCTATTCTGGGGATTGGTTGAACTCTAGCTGTCTTCCAGCAAGATGGAAAAATACCCGACCTGTACGAGACGGTGAACAACTTGCAGAGAATCGGTGTTAGTTCTGGTGCACATTTTTTGAGGATAATGGGCAGAATTCCATCAGGACCGTTAGCCTTATCCGTTGTTACGATGATGAAACACATTATTCCTGAACTGCATGGAATCAGTGAACACATCCATTTGTATCATCAAACCTGATACATTCGACATATAATTACTTCATTTTATTAACAATCATGATCCATGATAGTATTCAAGATGATACTATGAACATATGATCATTGTTCATTGTCTCCTCGAACTAGAGGTCATTGTAGCAATTGATATTACATAATTCGATAAATAGATCATTGTGTTGATCATAGCTTCAACATTGTGATAGTGAAGTCCGTCGTTGGATCCAATTCAATGAACAATTTCATCATTACAATTCACTTTCTAATTATATTCACGCTGATCTGTAGTTCAGTAAGGGCACTTCTATTGATGTTTGTGAAATATTGTGCGTGCCTGAAAAGGATAGATAAAGGAGGTAGGTATTCAATTTGTTTTTCACGTTGGGAAGTTGTGAAGAATCTTGGGGATACCTCTCTAGGCAATGAATTCTAGATCTTTGCCAATCTATAGACAAACAAGTTCTGAGATGGAGTTGTAAGATAAATGTCGAGGTTGACGACAAAAGAATGTGGTGACTGAGCTTACCAAATTCTGACTGGTATAGGTGACTGAATTCAATATCACAGTGCCAAAGTGGCCGGTTGTGAACTAAATAAAAGTACATTGTTTTGAAATGGTTCATAATAATTATGCTTGTGTGTATTATTTAGATCTTTTGGTGGTGCTTCGAGCAGAGAAAACTTCACTTTTGACTGTTTATTTGTGTTTTCTTGTGAATGGAGGAAGCTTTTCAGCATATATTCAAATACTGTCTGTAGGTTAATCGAGGAGGTGCTACATTCATTATTCCAAATATATATATATATATATATATATATATATTCGTTCAATACAGCGTATTTCACTACTTCAAATATAAATGCCCAATTTGGGTTTCGTTAGTTTGCATTTCTTTTCCATCAAGTAGTGGAATAAATATTGCGAAATAAGTGGTGTGAATATGATGTTGAAGTTCAAAGATGGATGTATATATTCTAGTCGAATCATATACTTTCATGTGTTTATATGATAACGTCCTCGAAGCCTCGTATGTGCGAATAATTGATCTACCTCTGGTAGGAAAAATTTAACATTCAATGTGCATTTCTTTTGAGTAAGGAATAATTTTTTCAATTTCCTTCTGTAACTTCACTTCTGGCCTTGATTATAAACACTCTTCTGGGAATAAGATGCAACTGAATTCAACCTCGAAGTTGAGAAAATATCTTTTAATTATATACTTATTGAAATCATCATTTTCTGTGAAATGCTGAAAACTCTCATGAAGAACATGTGAATCCACGCAATAATGATTCCAGATACTCAATTGAAAAATATCACAGTGACTACTAAACTCTCGATAAAATGCATGAAAGCTTGCATGTGAACAAACATTCAATGTACTTTCCATTGGTTATTTGAATTTTCGCAAGATGGCGTATCGCTTATTTAGAATCGCCTAATGCCAGTAATGAGATGATTGCTGACATTTCTGGAGAATATGTTCTGAATAAGTATTGAGTATGAAGTCAATAACAATGTCAAGTCACCCATACAGAATCAATCCTATAAATCTGAAGGACCAAAAATGTCTGAAGTTCTTTAATCAATAAAAAATCCGAATTGTATTTGGGCGGCAGTTATGTTGTTATCCTTAATTCAATTTAATACCAATGGAATTTTATGCTAAACGATATTCCGTAGTGGATCTTCGTCTGCGTTGTGTCTGTGGTGGGTGAAGAGAACCAAGTATAAATTTATAGTAACAAGCTATCTGTTAGTTTTTGTCCGACCATATGAATTATAGATTATGTATTGTATTCGAGAAAATTTATTTTATTTGTGTCGATCGGCAGCTAAATTGAATTAAAAAGATATTTATTACGTTGGTCGGGACGGGATTTATAACCCCGGTTCGTGAATTAACTTGGATGGATGTAAGATGCTAGCTGGATTTGAGAAATAATAGTTCGTTCTGCAACGTAATATGGCATAAGAATATTATCAAAAACGGCGTATAAATTTCTGTAGACAATGAAATCAGTTTTTTCAATCGATATTACCAGGATTGAGACTCTTCGGCTTCTAAAAATATCCTTCGATTTTCATCTTCTACTGTTTGTCGAATTCTCAATTCATGGTCACAGATTATTGTACATGCCTCATGCGCCCATGAATGCTCACGTCAGTTCAATAACTTAGGTAATACAGGGTTAGGACTCCGAATGGAGCAAATTTTTTAGCAGTTCAGGTGAAAATATTTTTCGAAAATGCAAAAGCCAGTCGATCATGATATTTCCTGGACTTGATACTTGATCATAATATTAGAATTTTAGATTTCCTCAAGAAGGAAAAACAATTCGTCGTTTTTTTTAATGTGGTTACTCTTGTAGTACCTTGTAGAAATGCTCATATAATGAGAAATGACAGATATTTTACCTCATTTCTTCAAAAGTTGTAATAGTTGATGCATTGTTTATGAAGTTACGATTTTTGATGATGAAAAATCTTCGAAATTTCTAGAAATATTAAAACTCTGATCAATTATTCTAATCGATGATCCACAGGCACATCACATTATTACGAACATATGAAAGTAAACGGGATATGGGATGAAATTCAGTTGAATCTTGAAATTGGATTTAGAATCAGTCTTGCCATTTCAATTCTATTTTGAGACCAATAACATCGATTTCTTCCGGTTAAGACTTATTTGTCAAAGAGAATCAGAAAAATGGACATATTTTTCATTCGCCTAAAAAGGTGACCCAAATGCTATCATCTCACTTTGAATATTCAGTATTCAAGGCAAAAAAATATTTTTACTTCCAACGAGCACGAAATGTTAGTCATTTTCCACGAGAATGGAATTTGCAGCATGAGCCGTAGGCGAACGCTGCAAATCATATGGGTATGAAATTAGCATTCCGTGCACTATACTCACTTCTTTTACGGCTGTAAAAGATAACAGCGGAATATTTGGAAGAAATAGAAATTTGACGTTCCATGCCAGATGTGGTTTTGTGAAATAATAATACAATGAAGTCATTGAGATATAAGAGACGGAAATATGATTGACGACATGCAAAGTACCCCATTGATTCATGGAACACAGCCAAACAGGAGCAATTTTGTGTTATAGCCGTATGATCGATAGTGTATTTTTTCTTGATGCCAAATAATTTGTTTAGATTATAGGCAAGTATCGCTCAACCACTCGCAGACTGGTTCTAGGCTAACGATCAGCATCAGTGTGAAATAGCAAAAATAAAGCAGATCGAAAAACGTCCTCTGGAAAGAAACCTTACATGATTCGAGTTTTTTCCTCACTGTTGACATATTATTCTACTCAGTATCTGAGCTATTCTGTAAATTTGAGTAATGCCAGTCCAGTAATTAGCATGCTAATTTATTGACAAATTGAGTATATGAATGTCGATGTGATCTTTTGTTGAGTTAGGTTTCGCATCATGTACCGTAGTTTGCTCTGGACAACATAGGGCAGATTGAAATAATTTCAAAATAATTGGAAGAGTAAATAACAATCAAAATATAAAAATCGGAGAATCTACTTTCATCATCCATCGCCGAGACAATAACATTGTTTTCTGTCCAGTTGATATAGACATACCCCACTATTCCCTCCTCCTATTCGCAAAGATTAAAGTTTTGTATTTATGTTGAAATCTCAAGCAGATAAATTCTCAACACGTCCAATGCAAAAAACGATGCCATGCAAACAATACTGAAAAAGTGAAAAAAAAAATGTTGCTCATTGAGGCGAATAGATACGTTGCACTTATTGTGAGCGTTATGAGTACCTACCTACCATCTAATGCTTATGAAATCTTAAATTGGTTCATTCGTTTATTCAGAAATTATGGCAATTCATTTACACTGCATTTTCATCAGGATTACTTAACCTTTCTCCGCATTATTTTTCAGATAGTTGCATGTAGTTTCGTTGTTTATATTTCCATTCGAAATCAACAGCACGATTGTACAATCTGAGAAAAGACGTATTTTCGATTAAAAACAAACTCTCAAGAAATACACATCTGTTTTTTGTCACGACATAAAAATAATGGACTCTCATCAACCTTCCCAAATAAACATAATTATGTTCATCTTTCTTCACAACTGCTCATTTTCTTTTGCTTTGTGAATCCTGCACCTTATTCATTCTTATTCACGCGAACTCTGTAATCAAAATATGGATTATATTTGGAACGAATGTGCACCTGTATCGTTTTTCCCGACAACTCTAGTACGAACATGAAAAATGAAACACATATTTTGAAATTCCATTAAATACTACTCGATGTAGTTACTGAAACTGTAACAAGATAAAGATATAATATCAATTTTTTCTCCAGATATCATCCTGAATTCCATTTTCATCCAGATTGTGGAGGGAAGCATGCATTAACTATAGTTGAAGGATAACTTCGACCATAGCAACTTCTGTTCCAACCTTCCCAATAACGGAAACCTAATTCTGCTTGAATCTTCTTAGCACAGGCTGCATCTTTGGCAATATCTTCATCAAGGAAATCTGAAGAATGAAAAACATGTTGTACCTTTATGAATAATGTAATCTCTAAATTTCGAAACCAGTATTATATTGTTTAACCATCGAGTGATTGATTCGTCAGTAGTGCATGACTTTTCAAAAATACTCTCACACAATCACTTTCGAACGAATTTCATGACTGGTCCATTGCCATTTGGAAATCTTTGGAACATGGAAATGAAATTATTAAAGAATATCCAGTTTCTCCGGAAACCCTGCTGGTGCCCCCCAAGGCAATAATCCTAATTTTGCGCCTGATGAAAAAAATATCCAGATTTTTCAGTGATGCTATAAACAGCCAACTTTTTGGGATCCATCGGCCCGATATGCCTTTTGTAGTGGTTCGCCTCAGAAAGATCTTCCTTACTCCCTGATCGAATGATGAATCTGAAGCTCGAGCTATACCAGCACTATCCGCAGCCATGAGTATGAGTGAAAGAATTCTACCGATTTTGAAAAACGGTAGGATTCGAGGTGTCCAGATGTTTTTTTGTACACCTACCATCTCCACAAATTAATCAGAAGTTTCAATCGATATGAGTCGTAGTGTAGTAATTCTTGTTGAGTATTTTTGCTCACTTGATGCAGTACTGCTAGATGTCTTGCAGATTGATCGTTCGAATTCCTGAGGTAAGTCATATCGTGATGCTTGCAGGCGCTATCTAACGAATCTATTGATGATTCTCCGGAGCTGATTAGTTTTTTGTTTTCACGTTTCGATTAATTTTGAATGTAAGGTATAACAGTCTTAAAAAAAACATAACACCTTTTCGACATTCTCTGTCTGAGACACATCTTTTGCAATCCTTATAAATGTATGGTAGACTGCAAAGCATTATACAAACTTCCTCGTTTAAACCGCACATAAGACGTATTCGGATTTCGAAAAATGACATTGATCTGGAAATAGCTATCAATGAGGTCCTGTTCATTTGAAATAATCTCAAGAAGGCGGCACTTCCAGAAGTACATTTCAACTTTGTGATTTCAAATATTTTTATCGCTTCTCTTGATTCTTAATGTGATTTCAAAATGATCTTCAATGAACTTTTCGATATTTTTCAGGTTTGCAAAGTTTGTGAGAGTTAGTAAGAAAGAGAATTCATCTTGTTTTGGGTATACTCATGATTGGGGAGAGACGATTAGAAATCTTCCAAATTTGGGAAAAACTCTGAAAAAGTTAAGATACCCATCACTGAATTTTGTCCAATGAAACGTAAATTTTCTCATCCAACTAAATGAAGGAGAAGTTGGATCTGTATCAATTTCTCCTGTACCTATGTCTGATAGTTCTCAGGTTATGAGTCTTTTCTAGATATCTAGGTGATTTTATCACTGTCCTCGAAGTAACAAAAACACCGTTTTTGCATAGTTTGTCAATATTTCCTAGGACGCCAGCTTTATGAAACCATTTTGAATCGCAAATCTCATTCGATACAATGAAAATTGAAGGAACTCCTAATCAAATTCGACAGTTCTTTTATCTGCTTCCAGGCATCTTTGAGTATTTTATTATTGATCATGAAGCAATGATAGTACTAACCTTCACATTTTGCATTGCATTTACCACCAGCTCTTCCGAATTGGCACCATTCCTTACTGTTTATCTGAAATACGAGACTATTTTCATTGTCATTTCTGATGAAAAATCCCTGTTACTAGATATAATGTTATTTAGTATGGTTCGAAATATCTGAAACAAACAAACTTAGACGAATGGATAATTCACAAAGATACTGAAACTCTTTTCCCTGTTGTATTTTCCATTTCTCCCTGAAAATAAACTAGAATCGCTTTCGTTTCAGCTCATACTGACTATCATGCCTTCTCATGATATAAAACACCAGAATCGGATTTTACCATGAACCACTAATTATTGGTCTATGATAGGTTATCATCCGTATGTATTCTTATTGCCCACTCACTCACAGGTGGACTTCAATCATTGCATTGGACAATCTGCGAATGCTTATCTCCCTGATCCCTGATTTCTTTCATCCAATAAGAAATGTTCAAAGAATTAATCTATGTTTTATATCCTTACATTGAGTATGCCGACCACTTTTTCAAACTGAATGTTTCGTGTATGTGTAAATGGAGTGAAGGTGTTTCTATAGGTTGATCTAGCTTATGTGTGTTGTGTTATTGTTATTTGTTATGTTGCTATTCCATTGTCTCTAGTTTCCTGTGGATTATTTGACACATAGATGTTCATGTTCAATCACAATCTCGGGATCACAGGGGTAATGCATACGTGTCCAAAAACCAAATTATCCTCAATTGTATAACCTGACACGTTATATTGAGAAAATATCACTCCACAAGTGGTACATATTTCATGATTTGATTGATTTCATGATTTGATCATATATTTCCTCATATGAGTTCCTTACTTGAAATAGTCCGAGTCCTTTTCCGCCATTGGCTTTATTGGTTTGTTTTGAAGTATCTCTTCCACTTTCACTTTCTATCAGACAAACCCCTGGAAATGAAAATCATGAAGGTAATTATTTTCAAGTACACGATATGATGTGGATCCAAGAATACTTGATCGCAATATATGAATATTCAATTATGCTACAACAGTTCTGACTCGAGGAAAATAATTCTCCATAACAATAATTATAGCCGGTAGTGTAGAGAATACTTGTGACTGTAAAATGTATGTAGACTTTGGAATTATTCAACGTTGCAATAGTTTCATGAGAGCTTGAAACGAATTTTCTTCAATGGATATTGAAGTAACTAGAAATCTGTTGGTTCATTCAATCCTATGTCTACTCTTGGAGCGATTCGCAGTTCCTTTATCCTGAACTATAACAAGAAGCACTTCCCTATCAAGCAAGAAATTCTATGCATATTTGTTTCCTCAGATGTATTTTTGGCAAGAATTTTTTGTTGGATTCTGAAGAAGGTACTCAAATCATACGGATTCAACGAGGATCGTAATTTGATGAAATGTCATGTGGACTCGTAACTGACGTGATATTTTTCGCAATAGTAGTAATTCGTGAAATATAAGATATGATTCAAATCGAAAGGATTCGATACATGAATACTGAATAAGGTATTGTGAAAAAATTACAATGTGGTCACTGTGTCCATAAAACCCTTCCCTCGTTGACTTTTGAACGGCTGGGGCTCTCTTATTTACTTGCTCCAATGAACAAGTGCTATATTTTGATGCTGAGAAAAAAATGGATGTTGTTCGAAGGAAGTGGTTATACCTAGTCATACCTCATTTGAAAAGTCTATGAACTCTTAGAATTTTTGGACAAAAATATTCATCCAAATTGAAATGGCGACCAGATTGATTTCAACGTGTTCTCGTGTAATTGTCAACTCTCCATTGGTATCTAGAGGAGTTTCCTATATATTCAGTGAAATTTCGAAAAGAAGTAAACTCGAAGAAATTGATAATGAACATTGTCTTTGAATATGGATAGATGTTTTCTTGATTCTGCTGATGCTGTAATCATTGAAAATTATTTCGATCATTGATATCCATGCCATTCCAATTCGGTTCAAGATGCGTCTCCCTTGGCATTCTTTTCAATGAATTGCTCTTCTAGATGACAATGGCGAATTTACTGTTACAAAAGAATACTCAAATATAAATCTAGTGGAGAAGGTCCTGATATAAGACTCCGAACATAATTATCCGTCATCTCATTTTGGATGAATATTCTGTCTGAAATCTTAGTGTCATTCAAAGAATTGAGAAAAATGTTCAATGAGGTATCATTTGAACCTCCACTACATTTGAAAAATGTCTCCAAACAGACATATTGTTTCTTGAAATCGATAGGTAGCAGTTGGACTACCATTGAAGCAAAGTAAAATACGATTCCGATTATAATCAATATAATAATAATCTGCTCAATAGAGATTGTCGATATTCTGAAAAATCAAGGTACTTCACTCTCGAGCAAAATTTACATTTTCGACGAATGATGTCGTAAATGAATGCAAGAATGTATCTGGTTATTCCATAATGCGTTTTAGGCTATGCACAGGTTTTTCAACAGGCATGAATCCATTTTTTGTAACAAATAATGTGGACATTATTTCATGAACATGAAAGCGAATAGTTTTATTTTGATTACATGCATTCATACAATCGAAATTTTCAACCTTCATGAGTTTATTTCGGGTTTGAGATGTTTGAAACAGAATATTTCGGACATTTCATTTTTTTTATCGCTTGGAGCGCAAGAAAGGAAATCCCTATAATGTTCAAAGAACATCGTGCGTTCCTATGGAGGATAGGGATAGGAGGTAAGTATTGGAATTTTTCTTGAACTTCTGAAGAATATATGATGTTGGGAATAGTTCCTCAGGCAATGAATTCCAATTATGGAAATATTTCAATACATTCAAATAGCTGTAGGATACTACAACGAGTTTTTATATTATCTGACTATATTCTACAGATCTTTGAGCATACGAATGCAAAAAATATCGAATGTTTCCATAATTCCGGATGGAAAATCCAAAATATTCTATCTCTATCAGCCAAATCAACAAAAAAGTCATCAAGGTTTGAAAAAGTAAAATAGTTTGTAGGTATTAAAATGAATCAAGACGACAGTATCCGAGTCTTTTTCTGTGGATTTTTCGGACTTTGGAGCAAATTTCGTAAATTTGATAGTACAGTGTGCTGTTCTGATCGATCTATCATAATCCAGATATATCTTTCCTGAGTTTTTCCACTGACAAATAATACGATGATCGCGTCAGAAGTGGAAGGAGAACATGTTTATCAATCATAAAATAGTGGTAATGGTTGATTCGTTAGTTATGCTCCTCGGGGTATAGGAATTCAGAAAAAACTTCGGTGGCCTCTATTTACTGTTGAGAAAATTCTGTTTCCCAATGAATCACCCTGTATTCAAAAAAAAGTGTTATCTGTATTTACTCATTCAGAACACTGCGAGGTTCAAGGTATTCGAGATAGTTCGGGACTAAGCATTCACGGTTATTTTAGGTTAGGTTACAAGTGAGTGGGTCTATTCAGCCCTCCACTGCGACCAGTAACCCTACCAACACAAGTATATCCTAGGGACTTCCCAGGGACGTCCCTGATTTTATACTAGGACATTCCAGGGATATTCTTTATCGGGACAAAGTAGATACTAGGGACGTCCCAGGGACATCCGCTGGCCGACAAAATAGGCATCCAAGGGATGTCTTTCTAGTACGTCCCTGGGATGTACCAAGTACGAAGAAAGGATAACCCCAGGTCGTCCTAAGGATATTCCAGGGACATCCCTTCAACAAAAGAATAAAAAAATATTGATCGAGTAGGGATTGATCCCGGGACCTCCAGCTTATCAGGCTCTCCATTGGCTGAAATGCCTTATGAAGATTTATGAACAGGACTTTACTACATAAACCTGAATAAATTTAGGATTTGGGTTTAATTATCATCATTCTTGGATGTTTGAGAGTGCGAAAAATGGACATTTCTTAAGAATTTCAGAGACTATATTCTTTGTTCTCATTACAATCATTTTCCGGAAGAAAAACAAACATTCAATAAAAAAAAACACCTCAATATTTTGATGAAATTCAATGACTCTGATGTGAATGGATATCAGATATTCCAGGGACGCGAATAGGATAACCAAGGGATGTACCTGGCGGGATGACCACTAGACAACCACTGCGGGACATCCCCAGGATGCTCCAATCATGTCCTTGTGCCGCGGGACAAAAAAGGGACGTATACCTAGGACATCCCCGTGTTGTTATGGAAGGGTATGGTGTGGCCCATACTAATTCATACTTCACCAAGTAGATCCAGCTTCCTAATGAAGCCGATTAGTTTACTTGGTGAGTGATCTTCCAGATCCAAGGGCGAGAGTTAACCTCGCCCAACAGCGGAAACCTGGTTCGCGGCAAGGCAGGCACAGAGTAAATGCTCTGCTGTTTCATCAACTTCAAGGCAGAGACGGTACGTCGGATCATTCGATAGCCCAAGTCTTGACATGTGATGAATCAGTGGCCAGTAAAAAGCCTGTTAGAGAGCGTAGGTCATTCCTGCTGTCTCCAAACAATTATTGTTTGGTTACATTCTCCGAAGGTAGTATGTGTGCTTCAGAATGAGCCAATCCTGATAGATTCTGCCAAAATTCTGAAACTCTTCTGAAAGTCCAGGTATCCAGTATATTTGGCAAAACTTAGGTAGATGCCAATAGCAGGTTCTAGTCCAATGAAACTACTTGTGGCACACTCCCTTGCTAGGGAATCTGCCGTTTCGTTTCCTTCCATACCACAGTGGCCAAGAATCCAGAACAGGAATAATTTATTGAGTCTGGACACGTGAACTTCCTCATCAAGAGTGATCATAATATGACGAGGAACATGACATCAAGAAAATTTTCAAAACAAAATGGATTTATTTATTCTGGTACATATTCAATAGTTATTTCATCAGTTTTAATTGAATTTGTTACTGTTTTTATTTCATTGTTTCACATCGTTTCCGAAAACTGTGAAAATATTCTGAATTTGCCCCATTTCATATATTCTGTTAGGAATCTTCGTTGAGAATTAATAAAAAAATAATTTTTGGAAAGAACGCCCCAGGCAACCAATAAATATCATTTTCATCTGGACATTCTTTCAAATTCAATTGATACAAACATAATGATTCGATTTGAATAAAGATAAATTACATCATCGATATATTTATTGACAATCCTATTTCACGAGAGCACTGAGTTTACAAATATATATGTAATTCATTTTTCCACAAAATCGACCTGTTTCAGGAGATTCCACAGAAATGAGAAGCATGGCTATATTGCTAGGGATTGCTATAGTTTATACCTGCGCTGATACTATCATCGAATATTATATTTTTGTCACTGTTAATATAAAAATCTTAATAGATATGGTTTTGATAAATTCATAATAATATGATGATTACCAAAGCAGCGAAATATTGGCTGAAAAGAAGTTGACATTTCGATTTTTGAAAGTTTGGTTGCAATTATCGCAATAAATAAACTATCGAAAGCAGCTGCGATAGTGAGTTTGAATATGTCCATGAGAAATTTCGAATGTTACAATTAGTAGGAACAGAATACATACTGTTCATATTCCAGTATTTGATATAAGTGAGAATTAATGAAGAAGAAATTGTATTCTACACAGAAATATAATATGGAAATGTGTCTCATTGATTCGTTATTCAACATGGATTCCGAGAAAATAGTGTACGCAACACGTCCAAAAATAGTTTTTTTGGACTCGCAGTCTTCCAGGACTCGCCTACGGATGGGTCAAGAAGTTCGTCAACTCTGCCGAAACAACAGTATTTTTCGAACTTGTTACGTAAATTACCATTATAATGTCATATCTTATACTGGGACACAATGTTTCTCTTCATCTCTTGGAGCAAAGGAAATTCCTATAATGTTCGAAGAACATCGTGCGTACCTAGGGAGGATAGGAAGAGGAGATAGGTATTGAAATTTTCTCGAACATTTAGTGATTATGAGATCTTGGGAATACTTCCATTGGCAAAGAATTCCAGAACTTTGCCGTTGTAACAGGGCGTCAAAGTTTCGAATTCAAAACTACTTATCATTTTCAATTTCTAGATTTTTGATTAGATATCGATTTCAAATCCTTTATACGAGTCACATGATCTGAGTAGAATAAAACCAATAACTAGGAAGGAAGGGGGAATGTTACAAAAAGTGAGTTTTGTGAAAAATTAATTTCAAAGTTCAAAACCTCCTTACTTTTTGGAAGTTGAAGGAAACTGAAATCAAACCACCTGGATTCATCTGATGGAGTATAATGAGCAATAAAGTTGAACAAATAGAAATGGAAACCATATTTTGATAAAAAAATTATCGAAAACAAAGAATAAGTTCGAAGATTCAAAGAAAAAATGGGAAATGTCCAATAACATTGTCAACTCTGTTACATTTCTGCAGTCTTGCCTGACTACCTTATGAGCGGTAAGTTGTCATATAGTACATCTAGCATTTCCATAATTTGAATATTTTCTATAAATTCCACGCGATATGAGTAGCAATCATCATGAAGCAATCTCATTATTTTATTCCCATCACTCAGACGTACTCGACAAGCCCAGTCAGCACACCTTTCCGTCGTCAACCTCGAGATATGTCGACCAACTCTTTACCAAAACTCGTTCATACATAGAACGGCGGAGCTTTAGAATTTTTTGCCAAACAGAGTGTTCCCAAGAACTCATAGTCTCCTGAAGTTGAAAAAACCCAATACCTACCTCCTCTCCCTATCCCTAGGTACCCACAATGTTCCCCGAACATTATAGGGATTACCTTTCGTACGCTCGGACAGATGAAAAGAGGGTGGCCGTTTCCCTCTTTTTTCTTATCTTTCGTGTCTGAGAGTTCTCTTTGACCTTTTGACAGTGTGAAAATAACCTATTAAAATCACAATGGAATCTGTATTCTATAGCAAGCACTAAGCTTGGACGTTCCCCTTTCTTCACATTTTTGGAGTGGACATTCCGCGTTTTTTTCCATGTAAACGAATCTTCGAATTAGCATATCAGCTAACTATCCTGCGTTATTGCTATGGACTTCTGTTTCTACTAAAATATAGTAGTTAGGCTATCAGATGGCGGTGTCAAGTCAATTTCCTCTATATCAGGACATTCCCCATTTTTGCTCGTGGTCTTCAATTAGTAAATTATCATAACAGGAGCATCTTGAAACCACTGACCCTCTGTTCCTCTGTACCAATGCCATCTCCAGATGAATTCTCAGCAGTTTATTTGTGATAACTATCCACTATCATCAGCAGAAATTGCAAGAGTCGTTTTATTTCACTTCGAAGAAACTATGGTTGTTTTGAATTGACTCGGCCGTTACTTGATGGAAATCCATGATAAATGTAAAAACTTCACAAACGATAAGATTTCCACAAAATTTATAAAACACACGACATGTTTCGCTAACACAGTAGCTTCGTCAGGTGATATACTGGTACAATGACTCTTATCGTTTGTGAAGTTTTCACTATGGTTGTTAAAAATCTACAATTCCTTCATAATCATTGTTTTCAGTTTTTATTTACAACCATTCATGTAATATTGTCATTACTAACGTCATTGAAGGTTTTGAAGTCTCACATTACACACCTCTACTTCCCGCCCTCCCTTCCCGCCCTCACTCATGTAATAATTCAGATATATTCGGAACGGAATATAGGTTCATTAATTTTGATCGAAATATGATGGTTGTAGATAAAATAGTATACAAACCTTGGTAGGAAGTTTCATTCCTGTCTCGAAATTATAGCTAACTAATCTCACGACAGGAATGATTCACTTTCCACCTCGGTGTGTAATATACTATTACACAGTATTTAATCATTGTTTTCGATCGTATGACGATTTGACATTCAGGCATATTGACAGAAAAGTAGTTATTTCAGTTGAATAGACCAAGGAAGAATTGATATTTCCGTCACATAGATAATGCGAATTCCCTGTGTATTTCTTTATATAGGTACCTATAAAGTGCTCAGATGATCAAGTGGACCACTGAAATTTTTGCCACTTTTGAATTTGTTATTGTTTCTCAAAAAATATATTGATTTTCAATCGGGAAGCAATTCTTGAAAGCTGCATTCTTCCACTTCAAGATTCATTGTTCAAAACACATCGAAATTCTCCAGTCATGACACACCAAGTATTTGAGAAAAGTGTTACGAAAATGAAAAAGTTTCAGTGTCGTTGTATTCCCCAGTATTTTATTTTTTATTTTTGCACAATTCCTGTTTCGTGAGTCCCTGAGCTGATATCTCTAAATGGTTCCGGAATTTTCGATATTCCTCATACATAATGATGAAATTCCATTTTTCTGATTTCCTGGATTTTATCAGCATCACTGCGGATTCAAGAATCCCGTTCACAATATTCAAACCATTTCGCTTTGTCAAATCATCGAGGATATCCTAGGGGATGAATTCATATTGCTCTTCCTTCCCTTTTTTTTGGAAACATGTCTAGAGCTTGGTGAAATCGCCTTTTCAGTTAGATGCTGTCATTTTCAAATGCTATCGAAAATAAGAATTCCTCATTTGGATCGTTTGTCCTAGTCAGTACCTCAGGACAGTTTCATGATTTTTCAGATATCTCAATTCAAGAGGGCGTAAGAGGGCACATCTGGATAATTCTGACCTATACGAACAGTAACAAATATTCAGTTCTTTCAGACTTCCATGGGCTAGCATGATATCGAGAAACTCTTTTCTCATGAGTTTGTTCATCAAATAATCGGACATTCTCCAAACATTTCGTTTTGTGATCGAAACCTATTCATGCGAATGATACCATAACAACACTCAATATAACATATCCTTTGAGAAATGTAATTTTTTTTTTCGCAATCTTATTGTTATCATTGCTGTCATCAACCATGCATTTCCAATGATAGGTCTGAGAGCATTTTCGAGCTCATATTGTGAAAGAATAATCACAATAATAATGTCAAAGATTTGGCGGAAAGGGCGGATTCCTCATGATGATATATGTTAGTTATATTGGGTGTTGCAATGGTATCATTTGGATGAATAGGTATTGATTACACAGTAATGGAATTTTTGGAGCATTTCCGATTGTGTGATGAACAAACTTATGAGAGAAGAGTTCCTTATTATCATGCTAGCCCATAAAAGTCTGAAAATACTGAATCAATGTTACTGTTCGTTTAGGTCACAATAAACCGGAAATGCCTCCATTCGCCCCATTTGAATTCATATATTCGAAAAATCACGAAATTTTCCCATAATATTGAACAGGGTCGTTGATCTGAATGAGGAATTCTTGTTTTCAGTATAGCATTTAGTCATGGCAGCATCGAACTGAAGAGGCAATTCCACCGAGCTCTAAACGTTCTTCCAAAAAAAATCGAATTGTTTTCCTGTTGAACTTGTTTATGATTTCATAGCGATAGGAATTCATCTCTTAGGGTGCGTTCAATGGTATAACAAGGGAAAATGTTTTCGTTATTGCTCACGGAATTTTTGAATCCGCAATAATGCGATAAAATACAGATAATCGAAAAAAATTCGAATTTAATCATTTTGTATGAGGAATATCGGAAATTCCGAAACCAATTCGGGATATTATCATCTCAGGCGTTCAGGAAAAAGGGTTATTAAAAAAATAAAAATGAATCCTGTGGAATACGGGGTCACTCAAACTTTTTCATTCCTGTATCAGTTTTCTTGAACACTTGGTGTGTCATGGCTGAAGAATTTTAATGTGTTCCAGACAATGAATTTCAAAGAGAAATAACGCAGCTTTCGAGCACTGCTCTCCGATTGAAAATCCATTAATTTTTTGAAAGATTATGGCAAATTACCGAAAATTTCCGTGGTGCACTCAATTCTTTGAGCACTTTATATTATTTTTTTCATGCACATAGTATATTCGATAATGTTCCTTCTCAATATTTATTTATTGTTCGGGTGTTTGGTTATAGCTTCATTATTCAACGATAATATAATGATATATCAATATCTGATGAACGGTCCATAATTTCAGGCATGAAAATTGATGGAGAATCATGAAATATGTTTCATCCAGAATTGGGATGTTCACGTATGAATTTCAGTTGTAGCGAAAGATATCAATATCAATATTGATATGCGGTGACCCCGGAAAATTGATATTCAAGAATTATCGAACAATAGGTCTGTTTTTTTATACTTTCCTGAAAAAAATCATTGTATCATCAGTAGTTCGAATATTTTCACAACACTAGATCTATCGAGAAGCATGGTGAACTTATTGTGACCTTATACTTACAATTTCCTACATACGACTTATTGAATCCACATCTCACAAGTTCATGAGCGAGTCCACACTTAGTGTATAATTTAGATTCAACCGTCATCACTTCCCATGCACCCACAGAAATCAGGAGAAAATACCCAAGATTCATTATCCACTGATGATTTTGAAAATATATCGTTATGGATCAGTAACTCTGAATTCACACCAAACCCCAACTAAACATTCAAAATAACATCGATAACTAACAACTGAATATCTTTAAACCGCTCATTGCAGATAAGATGCAATGTTCGATTCGGGTTTTTACAAACCTTGACATTACTTGACCTATTCAGTGATAGTTTCATCAATTGGTAATTGCGGAAGAATATTATTGTTATTTTGAACCACAGCTATGCAAATGAAGACCAGCAAGAATAATTACTAGATGTAAACAGATATAACAGGACAATCCACTTCTTATGAATTGATTTCCATTGTCCGATTATATTATACTCGGTAGAGAATACAGAGATACAACTACCTTCTAATCAGTAACAAACACTGCATTTACCGATAACTCGAATTCACCTGAAAAATTTTGCAAGGTATGAAAATTGCATGAGAAATTTCTCAATCAGTTTTGGTGCCAACAGGAATCCTCTAATTATTGACTTCATAAATTATGTACATGTGCACATTGAATTGATCTGTTTCGATTCCCATACAGTGAATCTATAGTCACTGTAGATTCCCACTGCTCTAAGCGCCCTCTGGAGAAACCGCATTATAAGAAAAAAGTGATGAGCGAGCTGCTGCCACACGATTTTCTCAATGCTAGGAGAAAACAATATCAATCTTCACCAATCCCGAATGGCTCTCAGTAGCACAAGCTCTGATACCAAAACTCGCTCATCTTATGATAATATTCATTCAAGGAAAAACACATCATTGAGTATGTCTCCCGTATGTAACCAATAGGTTATTGACGATGATTCAATCAAGGGATCAAGTGTTTGATGGCAGTAGAATCAACATTCAGTGAGTAAGCTCCGAAATAATTCTTTGCAAATTTAGAGAAGGATCCGGAGTGGATATTATTCTTAGGCCTAGGATGAAGTTGAATAATCTCCTCACAGAATAATGAGAAATCATCTTTGACTCACTATCATTCACATTATCTCAATGCGTTACCAACTGTTTTGATGAATGGTACAAGTTAGCATACTCGCAACACACACTGACTGAAATCAAACATTCCTGGAAAGTTAGAGAATACAAGAAAAAAATTCCAGAAATTCATCGCCAAATAATTCTCAAAATAACTCCGCATGATCTTCAGACAAGGGTAAAGCATATAGGTATCTTCATATGCCTCATTCCGCTTTTTTTCGAATATTTGCTGTTGAACACCTGGCAATTTATAGTCATTGTAATAACTTCTCTTTCCATATTGCTCAGGTTAGTTGTTGAGTTTTATGAATCTAACATTTCCCAACATACCTCATGAGAAATCATTCGACGCCAGTGACCTGGCTATATCATTGTTCCTTCATACGACCAATATCTTTTCATTCAGGAAACTCTCTAAGTGACTCTCTCACATGGATGTACTAAGTTCGAGATGAATCACTTCTTGAGACAGTGATCAATTCCAAAGAGCTTTCGAAAATAGGCTACGATTGCGTGGAAATCGATTAAGTTTATTTTGAATATGATCTGTGAATACATTTTTCATAATCCATTTCGTGAATGTGTTTGGTCGTGATTGAAAAATGCTTAACAACTGCAAAAATATCTACGATGATATTCAACATGCAACTATCCCCCGATTTTAGTAACATAAAGGGTTGCTCTGGGGAGTAAGGAAGTTTGAGTTATGTTATACACCTTCATTTCGAATGATGCCACCACAAATTAAACCTTTCTCGCGCTGTTTTGTAAAGTCATAATCCTGGAAATTATTGAGGGTGGTCAGTCATTAGTATACAGGCTGATTTTAAAATAAGTGCATATATTTTAAACACTAAGAAAGCTCGAGGTATACTACCGAATAGCACTATTAAAAATATTATTAGGATCAAAATAGATTTGGGGCAAAATACCCTTTTTCCGCCCAGATTTCTACTTCTGTCACAACTATCGTTTGCGATCCGCAGTCGACCGTGATGAACGAAGCGACGTTGCCACTCTACATGAAAATTAGGAGATATTAAATAAAATGTATAATCGAGAAAATGTACATGGGGAAGAAGTTAACCCTGGTCTTGAATTTCAGAAAGATAATACAAAAACTTCAAAATGGACTCACCCAAGATTTCTACTCATAAGCTCGAATAGCATATAACTTAACACCTCACGGTTGGAAGTTATTTTACTGAAAAATCCTTTAGACCCTTCCTTCCACCTCCTTGCATCGCTACAATTTCGTGGTCTTCGAGGAGTCTCATGGGCCCCGCACAATAACGACCCGACATAAGAACCATATCATTCAGCTCAATGTTTGAGAAATGCGTCACATTCCAAGCAAATTGTCAGAAACAAAACTTTACATTCAGTGTTGTTCCTGGGTCTGATTTTTTCGTAATAGATTTTCTTGGAAAATGGTAACAGATTTGTATCAAAAGGTAATAGATCCTAAAACTCTGACATTTGACATTCTGAATGTCATTCTCGCCATATCGCACAAATTAGACAGTTTTGGCAGGAATGAGGCAGGTCACACAGAACTTATGACATAAATATAGAACATAGACCCATAGAGCAGAACATAATTATCCGCCGAACACAGAAATAGACTTTTTAGTAACAAAACATCATATTTTGGTGCTAACAGTAACAAAACATCATATTTTGGAGCTAACACCCAATAGTAATAGATTCATGACAAATCGTAATATTGTAACAATCTCCGTGGAATAGTAATAGATCTATTACAAAAGTAATGACAAGGACCACACTGTTTACATTTACTAGTATCACGTTTTGACGTTTTCCAAAATAACATACATTCTCAGAACAACAAACTGTCAAGAAAAGATCTTTGTTTTGATTGTTCTTATGGTGTGCTAGCAGCAAGAATTCAGATGACCATGAATTACTAATAGGCGACTTTTACGGACCAATCAGAAACAGCAAAGTAGTGCCTGCGTGGTTGCGATTCATCCTGATTGGGCACAGGTGATTGAGATTAATGTATTAGTGAGGAAGGATCATATCTTTAAATGAAACTACCATTTTCATAAAAAACTAATTTGGAAAAAACATCTATTAGTTTAATTCAATGAAATGATACTTCCTCACTATACACTAATCTCACAAATCCAATCAGCTGTGTCCAATCAGGATGAATCGCAACCACGCAGGCGCAACTTTGCTGTTTCTGATTGGTCCGTAGAAATCGCCTATTAGTAATTCATGATCATCTGAATTCTTGCGTCCGAAACGGTCAGAAGCATGCGCAGTTTCACAGAACTGTATGATTTTTTTGGGTTCTGTGGACTTGTGCATGCTTTTGACGGTTTCGGATTGTTTATTTTCTGAACGCGAACAATCCTAGTTAGTACTGTCAAAGGTCACAGCAAAGAGGAAATCTATGGTCACAGATACTACTGTTCTGAGAAATGATGTTGACAGATCATATTGTCGCGAAAATACATAGAACACTCTGTATATCAGTCTCTACCCACTTCATGACCGAGCTATACGCCAGATTGTCAAGTCAGCAAGATGCCCACAGCGTGCGGGGGACCGGGGGAAGCAACGACTCAAGCAACTGCATTTTATGTATTTGTACCGGCAGTTGTACTTAACATCGTGACATTGTTACAACTCACCAATAAACATCTAAATCGAACCTTTTGGCCTATAAATTCGCCCCAAGTCCCCAAGCAGTGTCACAAATTGGTGGAGGCAAGCCGGTCATCTCGTGTAATAAAATAAAATTAAAATTTCTGAACCAAAATCTAAATCAAAATCACCGACAAATCTAACGAAACAGTGAAAGTTTAATGTTTACAAGAAGCCGTGCTAGAATTCCGATAATAATACAAGAAGAAGAAGCAAGGAACGAAGATCGAGTTGCAGAGGAAGAAAGAGTAGTAGAAAACATAAACGAGGAAATTATGGAAGCCAACCAGGCGCCTAGAGAAATCTACCCGTCGGTAAGTCCCAAGGTGTTTTCGGGAGCAACCGAAGAGAGAGTGGAAGATTTCATCAAAACTTTCAATCGAGCCGCCAGAGCTAATAGGTGGACCGATGAAACGAAACTTATACAGTTGCCATGCTATCTTAGCGGGGCAGCGCTAGATTTTTTCGAAACCATTGAAGATGGGTGCGAAACTGTAGAGGAAGCGATGCAAAACTTACAAGCGAACTTTCGAAATGAAAAAGTTCAGGAGCAAGGGTACATGAAGCTACTAACAAGGAAGCAGCAGGAGTCAGAGGATGTTTGGCAGTACTATCATGAGATGCTGAAGCTGTGCCACGACGTCAACCACGAAATGGAGGAAGAGGAAAAAGTTGGATTTGTCATTAGAGGCCTGAAGCCATGTCTGATCAGCAAGGTGAACCTCATGGACAACTCCACCTTGGACAACTTTAGGAAGAATTTGCAGCGCATCGAGACAACGGACTACATGGTAGGAGAAGCTTCGACCAGTCATTCAACCGCAAGTAGCGTCCCGACGCCACGCAGAACAGCCAGTATGGAGGATCCTCAACTTCAAGGGCTTCTACAGCGGATTCAACAGCTAGAAGGAGAATCCGGTAGGTCGAAAAACAATTATAACCATTATTCTCATAATCGTCAAGATTTTATCAAAAAGGAGCCTCGTACTTCCGACGGAAGAGTAGTTTGCTTCAAATGCGGCAAAATAGGCCATTATGCACGGAATTGCTTTGTAAAAAACGACCAGCCACGTCGCCAATAGGTTCAGGCGACGAGAATTGCTTTAATTTGTCACAATCACTTTGTTCACTTAGCGAAAGTAACAATTTTGCAGAGTTGATTGAAGTTAACGGAGTAATCTTTTCTCACAATGTTAAATTTATTCTAGATACAGGGTCAGGCATTTCTTTAATTGGTGATTTTGTAATGAATAAGTATAAGAATTTATTGAAAAAGGCACCAAATATTAGAATAAAATCAGCTAGTGGCAACTTTCTCATAGTATTAGGAGAAATACAAGCTAATTTCAAATTGAATGGGCTTGAATTGAATCATAATTTTATAGTAATTTCAAATTTTGGAAAAAGAATAATTTTGGGTAACGATTTTAATGA